GTCACAAGGCATTGTGAAATAGGAAACAAAGCGTGACTGGCTGCACCAGAGATTTTTTTTTCCTCTCCAGTCGTATGAGAATGAACTTTTATATTGACCCTGTTCATATGTGTCATTTAAAGTTGTCGACAGGTCAAACGGAATGTGTTGCTTTACAATGCAGTGTCGCCAACCTGCATATAATTTATTCGAACCAAATATAAATGGTCTGCCATGACTGGTCACTATTTATAAATATTCATACTGGTCTTTGCAACTATAAACACGTGACCGATTAGTCATGTTAATCATTTAATTCGTGAGGTGAGTAAAAACATTTACTTCGCTTGTTCTGTTGTAAGGTTTTGTCCTGTTTATAGTCAAAGTATGTATAATTTGGTAATACGTTATGACAACAATGTTTTATTCGATAAAGAGTCTGGTGGCTCCACTACACGTTATTATTAATGGTGTGTGGGTTACTGAAGATAGGTGAATTGCTGCAAAGAAACATGCGACTGCAGTTACACCTACGCCTAGTTACGGCCCATGTACTGTTATTGATTAATCTTTAACTTCAATCAACTTACACAAACTATTTGTATGTATATGACTATTACGATCAGTTCACAGTAGCATGCGTAACATTTCCTTGCTATAAACAAACAACTTCAGCGGTCTCGGTTTGGATTAGTAGAACATTGATTTGCATAGTAAACATTTGAACCTTCTAAAACACATTCAGTTGCGAAGTTATATATCGATATTCATGTACTTTAAGCTGCATATATATGACACTGTGTAGTTGACGGACCCGTGAAAAACGGCATCTTTAATTGGTGTGGATTCAAAACGCATAATGTGTAGTGTAAAATAACATTCTAGTGCTTATGACTATGATTCAGGTGATATCATCCCTATTTGTTTTTACAAAATACACTGTGTGATAATTTTGGTTATAAATTGTTCACCAAGGTTATTTCTTTTTAAAACACATTGTACACTAATGGTGATACATGCATCAATTAATTCACGTGTTTCACAACGCCGTGCCCAAAACAAAGCGTGATATCTTGATTCGGATACTATACTTGTTCGACTCCGTGATGAACGCACTTTGCATAGCCATGTACACGCGCATATAGTAGACATGCTGGTATTTTATGAGGTTCGATATGGAGGAAATGGCAGCTAAATGGGTGGCAGAATTAACCTGGTGGTCTGCGTGAGCCATTGTTGTTTAAAGTGTCAAGTGTATCTATATGTATACGACACTGGGTGGGTCGTAATGTGTGTACACTTGTGTCCAAATCAGATGAGACACTTGTAACTGTTTGAAATAACCCAAAAGTAAGGTTTTTCAAATAAACCCCTTTAGATGTACAATTTGCTTTGCCAATACTTAATCCTAAAGTCCCGATATGAAGTATTGAGTTTACAATCAACATACAGTTTTACAAGTTTGACCTATATGGTTAAATAGCGTTCATTAGCACTGTGATTCATTTACGTATGGTTATGTTCTCGTATAGCGTGGGTATCCTTATACCATATGATAAGAGTGGCAGTAACCACTTGGATGACTAGATCAGGGTATCCGTTCCAAGTGTTAACATTTACATTGATGATCCAATTATCGTTGAAATTTCTGTTTACGGAAGATAGGCAGTTTTAATTGCTTTGGGGCTGCCCATGAGAACTTGTAATCATCTTGTGATATAGACTCATAGTTGTTACCTTGGTGGTTGTCTGTTCACATGGCTAATAGTTTCTTCCAACATTGACGCCAACAGCAAGAGAATTGTTGTGCCCAGGATATCGTTGCCATGACATAATTGTATTCGATGACTAACAGCAAAAACAGATAATGATAAAGATTCTTGCACTTTTTAGGAGGGGGTAAAGTCCAAGCTTTTTTATTATTTTAGAACAGTTGGTATATACAAAGGATCCTTCATAACTGCCTTCATTTTAGTGTAAGTGAAAAATATAACCTTGCCTCAAAAGAAAAAACATGCACTAGTGTAGATGTATTGTAGATAACAAAAAAGAGTACGTCAAGGCGTTTGATGTGGTTAACAAAGTATTTCTTCTTCCCCGTGATAAACAGAGTCTGCAAAAATATCTTAAATCAGTTCTTTACACTTAGTTTATAATTTATCCAGACGCATTCGAATCCCTCTAACAGCATTTTGACACGAAACGTTCATTTGCTTGATCGATTTCTGTCATCACCACAGATATCGGATATCCTCATTGATTAGGCTCTCTGTGTAACAACATCTAGTAATTTCGACTAGAGTTAACGTCAATCGCCTTTTGACCTTGTTTAGTATAAATAATGAATGAAGAGATAATATTGCATAACTGTGAAACATTCTCACGCGATAATTGCAGAGGTGAAATGATGCTTTCTTATACAAACACTAACAATATTAGTACAAATGTTCAAAACTCTACTAACTGTACCGCAATTGAATCTAGCGAAATGCTAATAAGGTAAACGCGGCAGATTACTAAATGTTTAAAAGCACTGCGATGTCTGACCGTATGCTAATAGGTGACATTCGTAAAACGTAAGGCTCATAAATTGATGTACACGTTTTACACGCATGTTTGGCGGACAGCCTCCATAAGCACGCTACATAACTATAAAATTTAAAGTGAGCTAGCTGTGCAACACAATGTGATCATGCATTAAACATCGGAGAATGACGAGACTCTTACGAACACACATGCTAACATGATATTCCTTCTGTGTTTTAGTTACATGCTGAAAATGACTCCGAAAGTGTGTGTCGCTTTATTCATCGTACTGAGTGTACTGCTAAGCGGGGCATTAAGTAAGTCAATATTTAACACGTCTATGGTAAAACAAATATCAATGTACTGATATCAGATATTAATCTTATATGAACAATTCGTACATTTGGATGGTTTGTCTGATATAGATAATGTGTTATGTTATAAACATCGATTTAGGATGTAAAACTACTGATATAGTCCCCTTAGTTGTTAAAATGTCACCTTGCAAAACACGTTCACGCATGACTCGCTCAGCTATTGTTAAACACCCAAACAACAATGCCCAAGGAAACCAATACTTGACTTGAAACATACAGCATAGGTTATGTGCATAAATCTAGATCGACACACTCCTAAAAAGAAACGCTAATACCTTCCAACAATTATTACAATACAACATATTTTTATATTTCTTTGATATAAATTATTATTATCAATATTCAACAGGTCTAACTTGTTCTGATTGTACCTATACGTATAATTCTATACTACCGGATACCTTAAGATGTGATGTTAACATACATTCGAAACGTTGTTCCAGAAATGTAAGTATCAAGAATTATTTGTCCTGATCCGTTAAGTTATTTGCTTCAATGAATCATTTTATACACAATAGTTAAGTACCATGTCAAAAAGATTTGCTCGTATGAGTTAAAATAAGAAACAAACATTAACGCCATGATATGTTGTGTTTATATGCAGGAAGTGTGCTACACTAAATACACCAAGAAGTTTCTTCGCGTCACTGTGTCAATCGGGTGCATGAATAAACTGGTAGGTATTTGTAGTACATGTCCATTTGCCCAGTGGCAACGATTGTGAAATATTCAAATCCAGTTCAACAAAATGAGCGATTATATTTGCATGACCAATGCACCACTAATGGGGACGTAGTAATGGCTGCAGCGAACATTGAGGTGTTGCCGTACGAAATATTCCATTCACTAAGTTAGTATTGGTTACGGTAATGTCGCTTTTGAAATATTGCCTGTCACGATGTTTCCTAGACGATTGAGGTTAAAAATTATTTCATCATAGATAGACTTACTTTCTTAAATAATTTTATTTCATTTATATGTCTGTGGTCACGATTCACAAAATACAGGTAATGTTACCCTTGTTCCCTTTTCTAGGAATGCGCTGCACAACACTCAAAGAATGACCGCTGGTGTAAAAGAAATGATCCAAGTTCTACTCGAACAAGCTGTACATTTTGCTAAGATAGTGTAGTGCAGTGCAGTGCAGATTTGTGTAGCTGTAAATTTGAAAAAACAAACAAACATGTAATGATCATTGGTTGGAGCGATGTTTTGTTTTATTATTTGTTGTGCCATATCATAAATAAATGTATCAATATAGTAGAATCTTTTTCATATTTTTGTCACACTGTCCGTCGTGTTCGCAATTCCGGGTGCGGGTTTTACTGTGTTTGACTCGTGTACATCCACTTTATTTTATAAACTTATAAGAGAAAAAAACTATTTATAGTATAAACAGCCGAAGTTGATTATTTCATTTAAGTAGTAGTGAGTGGTAAGATATCGGATACTTTATTTGAAGCAGCTAGCTGCATCCTGTCACATCATTGTCACAATGACTATGTTGAGTTGGTCACAATATGTGACATAAGCTGTGTTCCACTCTGCTGTTGGAAATTAATTTGACAGTATAAAAACGTGTTGCAAAATAATGCTTTTGAAACATCTAAGTAAAAGTTGTTATATAGTTTTGAAGCGGAAGTTTCACTTTAAAATACCAGTTGAAAATGAGACTGAAAGCGACCAAAATAACCAATCTGAAAAAATGCATTGGGGGGGGGGGGGCTTAAATCATTAAACATTACAACTCTATATAATGACGATGGTGACGATACAAAAATTACAATTTGTAGATATATTAGAGTAAGAGTATTACGGAAATATTACTGTTATGAAAATAGCAGAGTATACATAGGCAGACATTTTAGGGAATTCCTTTGAGGTAAATATTTGTTTTTCCACAATATAATGCTATTGTTTACAGCATTAGTGTATCGCAGTCCTTTAACGCCAAAAGAATAATTTCATGCGAATGCTAGTCGAAAACACAAATTTCCCATACCTCAAACTGCATATATGTTGAGCTTATAAAAAAACAGTCGGGTTATTCGTAATATGTTTAGTACATATTCTGGCAAAATAATTGAGGGACTAAGTTGAATCACGTAGTTTAAATGAAACATTAACACTAGGTGCTTTAGCAGAGGTACTTTGAATTATGCATTTTCTTGTTTCATGTTAATATTATCAATCCTAGTGAAATACGCAAATCACATGACAACACTCACACGTTCTCTAGTTACATCGAGGACATACGGATTTGTGGACTACCAGCAAATTTACAATAAGTAACTAATTTATCGATTCTAAATTCTATATATATATATATATATATATATATATATATATATATATATATATATATATCTAGTCGGTGCTCTAATCTGCATATCATAAATAAATTATCTTAGACAAACTTCATAGCGCTAACAGAACATATAAATCAGCGTATACGGCTTTAATGCGAAATAATGATGTATATAAAAAAAATGTCCAATTATACTCGGAAATAGATCATTTTTATGCATTCTATGTGGAAACAAGTATTTTTTGTGTGATTATATATGTATTATGTGCAGATTATGTTGAGTATTAAACATGTAATTCAACCAATGCCATATGTGTTGATGGTTTGTTATTTACTTTTTATTCTACCTACAAACGCGAAGTTGATTGAATTATAACTGCATTCCGGGGCGTGCCGATACAACATATCTGGTCTCTCCTATTTACATTCCATAATAATATTACATACTTAGTGTGCTGATGTCTACATTACTATAATGACAATTAATGTTTCATTTTAAAGAACGGTGGTGGTCGCGCCGCGTCCTGTACGATATTAGAACGTATACACTGCATGTAAAATACACTGTTGATTACATGCAATTCGAACACGAGCTTAGCGGCGACCAAGATCCTTTTACAGCAACGAAGAATTGTTTCTATAAAGTAATATTGAGTGTAAATCACCATGATCATACCTTCGTGACTCTCACTTCATTCAGTTTCTTATGTGATTACGAGTGAAAATTTGCATGACAGCTAGAAGAATGTAATACAGTAATGGTAACCAAAATTACCGACTGGGATTACATGCAGGTCATATTAACAATTGTTTTATAGCAAGCGAAGATGCTTTTGTCCTAAACATTAAAATAACTTGTTCAATTTATCAGAGCGTGTTTTGAGTCTAACGCAAGCAGAAAAAAAATATTCTTAGTCTTGTACAATAATTCACAAAAGTTCTCTCACTCACTAGTGAACGTGAACATTGTGTTGTAATTAAATTATAGTAAATATTATTGTACCTAAATCCAATTCCTGCAGAAAAAAACTATATTGTTATTCGTTAATTATATCTCGAATTTGACCTTCCCCTCCAATATTTGTATTCGTCATTTTGGTAGACATGCGGGCACTGTACATTAGTTATTTTTACATCGTTTGAAACAGGGAAAGGGCAACTAAATATTATTAATGATAAGTGCAATTTATTTATGTATAATTACTCAATTGATCTGTGGTTGTCATTATAAATTAAAGTCTGGCATCGATAGGCATGGATCACTTTGCCAGTTGAACTGTGTTTGCAAATACGCGCCTTGTACACGACCTATTTGAAACCCAACAAATTAAGGTTTCAATGAACATACAGTAATTTAGACGTAGAGAGGACGGTTCCATGCCCGTAGCAGGGGCGGTGGGGTCGGACCAACCCTCCACGAGCGTTTAAGGTCCATTTTTAATGCACAATATTTTGAAAAGGCGGGCTAATTTGAAGCAGGAAGTCCTGGAAAAATTTCTCACTTTGTCATAGAATAAAGATGAACCCTATGGTTTACAGTTAGTTATTCCCGAGTCCGTATTATACTGGTAAAGATCTTACCGAGTATACAGCAACAAAAGTATAGTGAATGAAAAAAAATGAAACAAAAGCAAACAAACAAAATGTATATGTCGGTTTTGTAGGCCCGAACAATGCGTTGATAGCGTTTGGCATGATGGTCTATTCTGAAAACTATTAAAACATGGGGTGACTGGTAAAGTGTAACAAAATATTAAAAGTATGTACAGTAATATAAAATAAAAAAGAAAGATGGACTAACCAATCAATTTAATTCAACACTGGGCGTTAAGCAAAAGGAGGTAATCTGTGCCCTACACTCTTTAATTTTGTTATTAATAACATAACTAATACATTGGACCATGAATCATGTGATCCACTTAATTTGAATAACACACCAATCAGCTGTCTAATGTATGCAGATGATATAGTTATTCTTACCAAATCCAAAAGAGGTCTTCAGAAATCCCTTGATAATGTCTCAATATACACACAGAAACGGAAACTAACTGTACGGAAAAAACAAAAAACTAGGGTTTTTAATAAAAATAATAAACTCTATGACAATGAATTACTAGTATTCCTTTTGAAGGGAATGAGATTAACATCGTGAGGAATTATAATTATTTAGGTATTGTTCTCAGTCCCAATGGAAAATTTAAAGCTGCTATGAAACATCTGAAATACAAAGGAATGAAAGCATTATTCTCTTCGAAAGCCAAATTAGGTCACAATGTTATCATTGTATAATAAACTAATAAGACCGGTTGTTATATATGGATCTGAAGTCTGGGTTGAAGAAAGTTCATTCAACTCTACTATAGAAGATGTACATCTCAGCTTCTGTCGCTCCATCCTAGCCGTTTCAAAAGACACTCCGAAATTGTGAATTTATAGTGAGTTGGGTAGATATCCTATCGATTCATTTATTGAAAAGCAGTTAATAAAATATACCAACCACCTAAACAAAACCCAAAACCTAAAATTAACAAGACAATAAAAAGTAAGTGGTGCAATGAACTTGACAAACGTCACAGATATATGATAAAATTAAAAAAATGTATTTATAAAGCAATTACCTCAATTAGTGATGATACAAAAAGCATACAACTAGGAACATACAAAAAAAAATAAAAAAAAATATTTTGGAAAACAAAAACACTTTAAAAAATAATATGAAAAAATCAATGCGCTATGGAAAGACCTTATCGTCTTATTGATATCAATATTCACAATTGTTGTGATATTCTATTTTTGGCTGTAATAGCAATGTATTGTGATAATGCCCAGTTAGCTCGCGAGTCTTGCCCAGTTGTGGAATTATTAGAGAATTTGTATTGTCATTGCTAATTAATATTCTTTTGTTCTTGCTTGTGCAAGTTGACTTTCAACACATGACCACCAGGCCAATACCTTGCGTTGCAGTTCAGTTCCAGTACAGTTCAGCGCAAATCTTGACGTGGCAACTGGCACATGTTTCAAGATAATGCCTGACCAATACGTAACATGGGACTGATAGAAACAAGCCAGTCTGCAGTGATTCTACGCTGTAAAATTAACATTATGTTGAAACCTGTGTTATGCAATAAAGCGTAGTTGTTCGCTGATCTTTCTCCTTGTTCTACACGGACTTTGTTAATGCAGCATGACAGTACAGTTAAGTACTCTGCATTCCTTTAGGCTTCGTCCTTTGACCATATAGAACTGTTTCGTCGTCGATGTTGCTGTATACGACAGAACTCTCGCTGGACCTACAAGGTGAGATTTTTGGACCTAGGTAGGGTGAGCGATTTAGAGCTGGGCTCTTATTATGATTGTTATTATTATTTCTTTATATTTTTTTTAATATAATATAATATAATATATAATATAATATAATATAATATAATATAATATAATATAATATAATATAATATAATATAATATAATATAATATAATATAATATAATATAATATATAATATAATATAATATAATATAATACAATCGGGTGAACGCGGTGCTTTTCAGCGCTCCCCGATTTTCTGCCTGTTTTGCGTTTTTGCGCTCGTTGTGCGCCCGTGTTTCTACACAGCTGTATATATAGTGTGTCTACCCTTTACGTGAGTAATTTATAGTTGTTGTTTTCGTTATTATTGTGGGTTTTGGAGTGTTTTTGCCTTTGCCTTGGCAAGGTGGTCGGCAACCAAGATGGCTGCCGCTCACACAAGGCCACCGTCAACACCAACAGG